GCCGCCTCCCCCGGGACGTGGGACGCGGGCGCAGGCGGGGTCCGCGCGGCGGGCGGCGGGGAACTGGCCGAGGTGAGCGGGTGCAGCGCTGGGCTGGGGGTTTCGGGGGCTGGGAAGCTGGGGGGCCGGGAACAGGAGGGCCGGCCAGGCTGGGGCCGGCGCGCCGTGCAGGCCGCGGCGGGCGGGCGGCGGGGGCTCCCCGGGGCAGGCAGACGGGGATCGGCGCCGGGGCTGCTCCGTACCCCGGACCGGGGTCCTGGCTCTGGCCTCCGTGCGACTGTCGGTCCGCGCGCCCCGCGCTCCTGGAGCCCCAGGTGAGGCGCAGGTGAGGGCCCGCGGTGGGGAGCCAGGGCCCGGCCCGGGGCGCCCGCTGCCCTCCGAGAATGGCCGCGGCCCGGCCGGCCTGGAGACTGAGGTTCACGCCCTGCGCCAGGCGGAGCTTCCGGGAGGGTGGCCGCTCTCCCGGGCCCCAAGCTCGCGAGTCCTCGGATCCCAGAAACATAACTCCGGGGGTGCAGACCTGCTTGGAGGCCCGTCCTCTTCCCTGGGAGGCGTTCGCTCCCGCCGGGCCAAGGACTAGGTCGCCGATCCAAGCGGCTGGGGTGAGCGCGCCCTCGGGGAGGGGAGCTCCCGTGGGGGACACTGCCCAGCCCGCAGGCCGTGAGTAGCCCGAGCTCGGGAGTCGGGGGAGGTCGGGAGGGGCTCACCTTGCCTCCAGTTCCCAAGCACAGGAAATGGCGGTGCAGCTTTGCTAGGGGACGCTTGTTGTGAGGTTGTAAAATTGCAGCTTCTGGAAGGCTGGGAGCGGAATTCTAGCCCACGCCCACTTCTGGGTGGCTGGAGCGGGCCCTCCTGCTGCCCCGCCCGCTCCTGCACCGGGGCTCCTCTCCCTGGCCTGCAGACCCTGGCCTCCTTACCCTGGGGGAAAACCCCACCTGGGAGGTAAGACTGCTCGCTGAGCTGCTTTTCGGCCAACCAAGACATGTAGAGTATTTGGGGGCGTTTCTCACAGGTGGGCAGACTGTTAGGATGGCGAGGGCCCAGTGTGGGTGCTTTGGTTCTCTCCGGAAGATTGATGTCTGGACCGAGAAGGGACCGAGTGTTCTCCACCGCTTCCTAAAATCTGACACCGTGTGGCTTTGGGGTGCAGGTGCTGCGTGTCCCCACAGCCACCCTCAAGACCGTATCCCGGGGCAGCAGTTTGACAAAGCCTGCCCCACTGCAACCTCGGCCTCCCAGGTTCAAGCGATTCTCTTGCCTCAGCCCCCGGAGTAGCTGGAACTACAGACGTGGGCCACCACCCAGCTAATTTATGTATTTTTAGTAGAGATGGGGTTTCGCCGTGTTAGCCAGGCTGGTCTCGAACTCCTGGCCTCAAGTGATCCACCCACCTCCACCTCCCAAAGTGCTGGGATTACAGGCGTGAGTCACCATCCCCGAACCAGGGGGCTTTTCAAGAATGATTCATCTTGCATACTGTTTTAAAGCCACAAGCTGTCCCGGGGAGATGCCCCCCCTCGATTTTGTTTTTGTTTTTGTTCTGTTTTTGTTTTTGTTTTCATTTTTGTTTTTGTTTTGAGATGGAGTCTCCTCCTGTCTCCCAGGCTGGAGTGCAGTGGCGCCATCTCAGCTCACTGCAACTTCTGCCTCCCGGGTTCAAGCAATTCTCCTGTCTCAGCCTCCCCAGTAGTTGGGAGGCACACACCACCACGCCCAGCTAATTTTTGTATTTTTAGCAGAGGAGGGGTTTCACCATATTGGCCAGGCCGGTCTCAAACTCCTGACCTCAGGTGATCCACCTGCCTCAGCCTCCCAAAGTGTTGGGATTACAGGCGTCAGCCACTGCACCTGGCCAGATTTTTTAATACCATTCTTGGACTAGGTGATTTGACAACTTAGAAAACTATTCACTAGGTGTCCAGGCCCTCTCTGCAATCAGTCAGAAGCTGTAAACGTGGCTGATGGAGAACAGAGTATTTCTCCAGGAAAACTCCCCTCCCCCACCTTGTCATCTAGTGGAAAGACACTGACTTGGGCCCGTTTTCTGAAGGTAGTAGTACTGTTTAAGGAGCTAATAGTCTTAATTTAGACTCTCCTCAGCCCAAGACTAATGCAAATGTTTTATCATTGATGTCATTTTGCAGAGGCAATTTGAATAACACCTACAGTAAGGCAGGCATGGGTCCGCTAGCCAATGAGAGAGCCCCTACCGCATTGTTGGTCCTCAGTGCTCTGTGTCAGTGGGGAATCTCTCCAGAAGGGGACTTTACGGGAGATGTCATGGGCCGCAGTGGGTGGCCAGAATTTGAGAACTAGTGGATAATGTCACATATGTGCCCATTACCGTCCACTTCAGCTAGCATCAGATCTGTTTGCCAGGATAGGCTAGACATTACTTGTGGGTTAAACTGTATTTGGTCTTAATACGTTAAGTTAAATGTATTTGTATTGTGGTATATCTTAGGAGTAAGTCCTTCCAAGTAATTTTGAGCCCTTAAGTTAATGGTATTTCTTTCCAAAAAAAAAAAAACTGATGAACTGTAGCTTCAGCCTGTAACTAGATGCCTCTTACTCTCTTTGATTCTGGTAGTCAAACGTCTATTGAAAAAGCAGAGAGAGGATGCCTCGGCGTGTAAGGGGAGTGACGAGGACCTGATCCTTGGGCCGTTTGGGAACACTGGCTGCCGTTTGATCACAGTCAGCCTGGACTCAGAGAATTTCAAGTAATTCTTGTATTTTAGTTTCCCTTTTAGAGCACAAATTGGTACTAGCAAATGACTTCCTTCTGAATCTGTCTCACCCCCTGGTTAATGGCTAGTTACCCCTTTTAGGCTCACCTGTGTGTAGGTGGCCAGCCTCACCTTTTTTTTTCTTTCTCTTTTCTTTTTTCTTTTTGAAATGGAGTCTCACTCTGTCGCCCAGGCTGGAGTGCAGTGGCGCTATCTCAGCTCACTGCAAACTCTGCCTCCCGGGTTCAAGCAGTTCTCTTGCCTCAGCCTCCCAAGTGGCTAGGATTACAGGCATGCACCACCACGCCCGGCTAATTTTTGTATTTTTTTAGTAGAGGTGGAGTTTCACTATATTGGTCAGGGTGATCTCGAACTCCTGACCTCAGGTGATCCACCCGCCTTTGCCTTCCAAAGTGCTGGATTGCAGGGGTGAGCCACCGCACCTGGCCACAGCCTCGTGTTTTTGAGAAAAGATGGTGGCATGTAAATACCTGATTATGTGCTTGTCAGGAAGAAAGTGCCTGGTTAAACAGAGAAAGCTCCTGGTAGAGAAGAATCCGCAACAGAGGCAAAACATACAGACCGGTTTTCACCCACTGCTGAGGTCCTGAGGGCAGCCACGGCCTCTGAGCCAAGGGGAGTTCAGTGTCCATAAGCCTTGGGGGCTTGCTTGCATAGGAACCGCTTTGCCCTCCAATTTTGGTGTAGGCAGGCGGGGATCAGAGCAACATGTTAAGAATGAATAGCTGTGCAGTATCCCTGGTATTGTTCTAAGTGACTGCCATCCATCTGGGCTTCCTCTCTGCAGTGGCAATCCCCAGGCCTTTCGTGAGCAGGTCTTCAAAGTGTCCCAAGCTCAGTCCAGCACTTGTGCTGAGGCAGCCACCTTTGGTCTGAAATCTGGAAGCACAGGATGAGAAGGGGGACATCACTGTGTTCAGGGTGACTTATGTGCTAGTTAGCTAAGAATAACAGTTAGTCCCATGAGACCACCTGGCAAATTTACATTTGACATTTAACACAGAGAGGGTTTAGTAAAAGCAGCCCTTCAAGATGTTTGGGGAAATAATTTTTGAGTGGCTCACATCATACAACTTTCCATTCCAGGAGCTTGTTGGTTGGGTCAAGATAAACCTACGCATGACGTCGTGCTGATCCTGGGTTTATAGTCGTCCTTTTTAACCTGCAAAGAAGCATTTGAAGACGTTGTCTCATGGGTACCGCTTGCCAACCTTTGGAGGTAAATAAAACCTCTCCCCTCTTACAGAGAAGGTGGAAGCCCGGAGTGAGAAGGGAAGAGTGGGGAGGTGATGTGCGTGCGTGCCCCGTGTGGCACCGTAGAGGGTGGCTGGAAACATTTTCTTACTGAATCTTCCCAGCGGCCCTGGGCTGGAGCAGATAAACTGTTCCTTTCCCAGCCGAGGAATCCGAGGCCCCAGGAGCATGAGTAAGTCACACAAGGACACCCAGCCAGCTGGACGTCGGGTGGACATCAGGCTCCACCCGACTCTCTCAACTCTGTGAGCCCGACATGCTGTTCCTCTGGGGCCTCACTTGGTACTGGCTGCTATCGCTATTCTTAGCTACATCACGCCCGTGTGCTTTCTTTCCGCCCAGGATGTGAAGCCGGCAGAGAAATAAAGCGCCGCCCCTCTGCGCGTCCCTCCCCGTCTGCTAGAATGTTTCTCATGAACGCTCCTCCAGTGGTTGCTCTCCAGTCCAAATGGGAGGCCTTTGGCCCGCCAGGGAGCTGTAGGTTCCCCGGGTGCTTCTCGGAGGCTGACGAGGGCGTGGAGAGCGCGTCGGTGAGCGCCCGGGTGCAGATGCTCATCAGCACGCTGCAGCGTGACGGGGCTGCTCGGGGCACCAGCGATGAGCGTGCTGCGCAGAGGGGTCACAGGGCAGAGGGATGCCACGACGCCAGGCCGGCCGCCAAGCCCACCGTGCACAAGGAGCCGCCCACGCTGGCTGCCTGTGGTCTCGTTGCTGACTTTGACCCCATGGGGGAGGAGGAAACTGCAGACTTTGGCCCGTTGGTGCTAGATTCAGACAGTGACGATTCCGTGGACCGGGACATTGAGGAGGCCATCCAGGAGTACCTGAAGGCAAAGAGTGGAGCCACACAGCCCGGGGCCAGTGGGGCTCAGCCAGGCACAGCCCAGCCTTCCAGGGCCGCAGGCGGAGGCAGTAGATGTAAGCCGGAACCGGCTCACGGCAGTGCCCCGACTGCCCTGTGTCCACCAAAACTTGTACCTGGATCAGGTGGTGGCCCCGGCAGCCAGGTGGGATCCAGCGAGGACCAGGGCTCCGCCTCCCCCGTCAGTGTAAGCAGCGATGATTCCTTTGAGCAGAGCATCAGGGCGGAAATAGAACAATTTCTGAATGAAAAGAGACAGCACGAGACCCAGAAATGCGATGGGTCCGTGGAGAAGAAACCAGACGCAAATGAACATTCGGCCAAGTCACTCTCGAAATCCCACCAAGAGCCGGCTACAAAGGCGGTGCCTCGGCAGGGCCCGATGGGCGTCCAGAAGGAGTTCGCCTTCCGCAAACCTCCCCGGTTGGTGAAGACGAACGTGCAGCCCAGAAGCCTCAGGTCCAAGGTCACGACCACGCAGGAGAACGAGGGCAGCACGAAGCCAGCAACCTCCTGCCGCCCTTCAGAAGCAGCACAGAATAAAAGTGGGACCAAAAGGGGCACCAGCGCGGCAAGGAGGGGAAAGCGAATCACGAGCCTGGCACAGGCACCCGAGGCGTCTGACTCCAGCAGCGACGACGGCATCGAGGAGGCCATCCAGCTGTACCAGCTGCAGAAAACACGCAAGGAGACCGAAGGGGACCCGCCCCAGACGGCCCAGCTCCGAGAGGAGAGAGCACCTGATCCTTCCACACACAACACAAGCAGCGCCCCAAAAAGTGCCTTGCCCGAGACCCACAGGAAAACACTCAGCAAGAAGAAGCCAGTGGCCGCCAAGACCACGGACCCTGGTCCGGGGGACGCTGACCATTCCCCCAAGCTCCTGAAGGAAACCAAAGCTCCACCTCCAGCGAGCCCGGCCTCCAGGAGCGAGTTTGTGGAACGGTCCTCATGCCGGGCAGACACATCTGCTGAGCTGATGTGCGCAGAAGCAATCCTGGACATTTCCAAGACCATCCTGCCGGCCCCTGTGGAGGGCAGTGACCGGTCCCTGTCTGCAAGC